ATAGTTTTAAATTAATAATTAATATCTCCATTTTTATATACCTGCAAGCGTCGCCTCTAACGTCAGACGCAATGCAACATAAGTGTGTGTCTGTGTGTCTGTGTGTCTGTGTGTGTGTGTGTCTGTGTCTGTCTATGTCTGTGTGTGTGTGTCTGTCTGTCTGTATGTGTGTGTGTTTATAATGAAGAATTAATCATCAGATTTGTGATTGTTATATTTCTTTGAAGCATCCACCTGCTACACCCCTCCCCCAATTTAACCCACCCCCACCCCATGTGTCTCCCGTGTCCCCGACCCACCAGACAACATTCTCCTTCCCCCACCCCTTCAACCAGCCCCTGGCCGAGATGAAGCTTATCATCCCCGGGGTTGATTAAATGACCAGAGTCTAATCAGACGACCAAGGGAAGCAGAAGTGAGTGGACTTGATTCCAATCCTGCTGTGACTTCAACTAGCCAGTCGTTAGGGTGGCTGTCTGAATTCAATGACCACTGGGGCAGACGTGTGTTGACCTCTGGCTAGCTTGTCAATGACCTCTGGCTAGCCTGTCAATGACCACTGGGACAGACGTGTGTTGACCTCTGGCTAGCCTGTCAATGACCACTGGGACAGACGTGTGTTGACCTCTGGCTAGCCTGTCAATGACCACTGGGACAGACGTGTGTTGACCTCTGGCTAGCCTGTCAATGACCACTGGGGCAGACGTGTGTTGACCTCTGGCTAGCCTGTCAATGACCTCTGGCTAGCCTGTCAATGACCACTGGGGCAGACGTGTGTTGACCTCTGGCTAGCTTGTCAATGACCTCTGGCTAGCCTGTCAATGACGACTGGGGCAGACGTGTGTTGACCTCTGGCTAGCTTGTCAATGACCTCTGGCTAGCCTGTCAATGACCACTGGGACAGACGTGTGTTGACCTCTGGCTAGCCTGTCAGTCGTACCATGGCAACCAAAACAACGATTCGGGACCACGGTGACCTGTCTTGGCATAAATGACCCAGATCTGACCCTAGCTAACCACAGTACTGGCCCAGGTGAGTTGTGTTCAGTCACAACTTGATGAAAACAACAACAATGTTGCACTAAGGTGACTTTTCTGACCTCAAATGGCCTAGTTCTGGCCCAATCTAGGTACTGTCTTGTTCCAAGTGAGTTGAGTTCAGTCATAAAATAACGGCTTTAACAACAATGTTGCACTAAGTTGACCTTTTTTTCCTTAAATGTCCCAGATTTGACCCAAACTATGTACATTTTGGTCCAGGTGAGTTGTGTTCAGTCATAAAATAACGGCTCTAACAAAAATGTTGCACTTGGGTGACCTAGCCTGACCTAAATGACCCAGATTTGAACCAAACTAACCACAGTCTTGACCAGGTGAGTTCTACTCAGTCGTACCATGGCAACCAAAACAACAAATCGGGACCACGGTGACCTGTCTTTCCTTAAATGACCCACATATGACCCAACCTAGGTACTGTCTTGGTCTAGGTGAGTTGTGTTCAGACATAAAATAACGACTTTAACAACAATGTTACACCAGGGTGACCTGTCTTGTCCCCCAATGTTCCAGATTTGACCCAAACTAACCACAGTCATGAACCAGGTGAGTTCTACTCAGTTGTACCATGACGGCCAACAACAACAATATTAGATCACGACGAGTTGTTATTTTTGGCTTAAATGACCTAGACCTTACAGTAGATAACTATAGTCTAGTTTACTGTGAGTTCGGTTTAATATTGACATGTTGGGCCACGGTAACCTACCGACTTAAATCACCTTGTTTTGATCTAAACGGAAACTGGTTTTGGTAAAGACAAGATCTACTACCTCACGACATATTGACCACAAATTTAAGAAAATAAAAAAAGGAAAAAAGGGGGGAAAAGTTATGAAATCAGAATTAAGACTAATAAAAATATTAAAAATACAAACAAATATATATTGCTGGAATGTGTTCATAAATTGAAACCTTGTCGTGTTATAGAGAATAGTTAAATGTATAGATTTATCATATAATTTTAGGTTGTGCTCTAAGTTTTATTATTCCTAAATTATTGTAAAGATTTATGAGCGACTAAAGCGTTTTATTTTTTTATTTTAAAAAATACCGAACATGTATGTTTAGCTTTTTTTAAATGCTTGTTAATATACAAGATTTTAGTGGGTTCTTTTCGATTTGGGTGGTTTTTTTTTTTACTTGCTATTAAGTCTATTGAAGCTAGAATTTTTTTTCCGCTGTTTTTTTTTTTTTCTTTTTTTTTTTTAACTTTTGAGCGGGGTGTGGTACTTTATTTTCGGTTAAAAGAAATCTAGTATTACAATAAAACGATGTTGTGTGTACGCAGTTTCTAAGTCACACATTGTAAAATAAGTTCGAATCCGGGTTCAAGTCAGTAGAACATCTTTGAGTCCACCCAGCTCTGATGGGTACCTAACTCACGTAAGGGAAAGTAAAAGAGGTTGGGCATAGTGCTGACCACATTATCCCTAAATATGCGGAGGTCAAAAAACATATGAACTGATTCATCTGCCGAGTGAATCGCTAGGTCTAAAGAGAAAACTCTATTTATTTTGGAATGAGACTGCTGTTGTGTATGAGACAATAGACTTGCTTGTAAGCTTAATGTTAAAATATGTCACCTCGCCGTACTACACCCACACATATCACATTTTCACACCCCACCGCTTACACTTCCCCCACCCCACTGCTCCCACTCCCCCACCCCACCGCTCACACTCCCCCCACCCCACTGCTAACACTCAACCAGCCCACTGCGCACTCCCCCACCCCACTGCTCACACTCCCCCACCCCACTGCTCACACTCCCCCACCCCACTGCTCATACTCCTCCATCCCACAGCTCCCACTCTCCCACCCCAACGCTCACACTCCCCCACCCCACCGCTCACACTCCCCCACCCCACTACTCACACTCCCCCACCCCACTGCTCACACTCCCCCACCCCACTGCTCACACTCCCCCACCCCACTGCTCACACTCCCCCACCCCACTGCTCACACTCCCCCACCCCACTGCTCACACTCCCCCACCCCACTGCTCACACTCCCCCACCCCACCGCTCATACTCCCCCACCCCACCGCTCATACTCCCCCACCCCACCGCTCATACTCCCCCACCCCTCCGCTAACACTCCCCCAGCCCACTGCGCACTCCCCCACCCCACTGCTAACACTCCCCCACCCCACTGCTCACACTCCCCCACCCCACCGCTAACACTCCTCCACCGCTACTTTGTTTCACTTCAACCTTGACCTTACTGGTCGGACTTGGTAAAACATCAACAAAGTTGACCCTAGCTGTCTACAGACTTGGTCCAAGTGAGTTGTATTATGTGAGGACACGAGGACTAGAAACAACAATGTTGGACCACGGTGACATGACCTGACCTAAATGACCCAGATCTGACCCAAACTAACCACAGTCTTGGTCCAGGTGAGTTCTACTCAATCGTACCATGACAACCAAAACAACGATTCAGGACCACGGTGACCTGTCTTGACCTAAATGACCCAGATTTGACCCTAGCTAACCACAGTACTGGCCCAGGTGAGTTGTGTTCAGTCACAACTTGATGAAAACAACAACAATGTTGCACTAAGTTGACCTTTCTGACCTCAAATGGCCCAGATTTGACCCAACCTAGGTACTGTCTTTGTCCAGGTGAGTTGTGTTCAGACATAAAATAACGGCTCTAACAACAATGTTACACTCGGGTGACCTAATCTGACCTAAATGACCCAGATTTCACCCAAGCTATACATTTTGACCCATGTGCGTTCTACACAGTCGTACCATGACGACCAACAACAACAATGTTGCACCCCGATGACCCAACCTAACCTAAATGACCCTGATTTGACCCAATCTGGGTATATTCTTGGTCCAGGTGAGTTGTGTTCAGTCACAACATGACATCCAACCACAACAATGTTGGACCACGGTGACCTGCCTCGGCTGAAATGACCTAGACCCTACAATGCTGAATCACGGTGACCTATGTTAAATGACATTGTATAGCTAAGCATGAGATCCACTACCTCACAACACACTGATACCCACATTAGGTGAATAGTTAGACATCGTATCAAGGTGGGCAGTTCATGACTGGTTAGAATCAGTTTATAAACAACATAGGTGTAAAGTAGACGAATCAAAACAATAGGAAAGGGAATGATTTTATATATAGGAGTTACTGTTGGGACAAAAAATTAGAAAACAAAACGCGTTTAATTCAAATAAAGTTAAGAGAAAGACGAAAAGACTGTATATTTCTTTTTGACCAATATCTTCTAGCTGTTGATTGATGGCTGATAATTTACACTTAGTATATTGAACTACTTCCCCTGATAATAAAATGTGACAAATTAAAAGCATATTCACTGCAGCACTAACTTACAGAAAACTGATGATTATTTTATTTTAGCATTTTATTAATTCTATCATTAAATTGGGTGGGATGTAGAACGTTTTGTGTTGCGACAAAACATGGAAAATATTCAAGATTTAAGATCCAGTATTATTTAATCTGAAAATAGTTTTTCGTCCCACCTAACTAGAACTAGATATATTCTGCAAGTTTCCAAAAAAAAGCCGCACTGCGAATATCAGGAAGTGATCCAAGGGAAACCACTGCAAAAATACGTGGAGAAAATTTATATATATTTAGTTACCTCCCCTTCAGCATATATATTGTGCATTTTTGTGAAATAATGCAAAGTTCCTTATCTGTTATCATCCATACTTTATTATTTTCAAATGCTCCTTAAAGAAACTTGAGTGACTGATTCTAGGATGAAATCAGTAGGAAATTATTCATCATTTTCATTGGTATTAATTATTAAAATTTAATATTATTGTGTATATTGTGCACAGGACAATCGAGTGTAAATTTTATTTTAGTGAGATTGCACATATTTATCATCATCCACACAACTGACACATTTCATTTTAATATTCAAACAACAAATGTCTATTCAATTTTGGATAGCTTTTTATTGTTAGTGAAAATTCCAACTTTTATAGAGCATTGAATGTAAGGAGTTATTAACAAGTAAGAAAATGCAAAAAGTAAAACCAAATTTAACAAAAATAATAACATGCAGCAAAACTTGCAGCAATTATCTGCTTGCCTAAACACATTATTAATAAACCGACCACAGTTTTTCTCTGTGAATTTAAGTAAACCAGATCAAATATGTGTCCTGTATTGGAAATAATGAATTTAACATACTATTATTATATTTTAGTACAATTTGGGTACAATTTGTTCAAGTTTGCAAAACTTTAACTGCTTAAGAATCAATTATAGGTCTGTTTAATTTTTTACAGTTTATCAATTACTTTTTAAGAAATGAAGCTTATAATTTTATACAAATCTTAAAGAATACATAAAGATATGGAGGGATTCTAAAAACAAATATCTCACTAAATCTGTGGTTTTTCACAAAGGTACTCTAAAGACGTGAGTGTACTATATAACAGTGGCTCTAAGCAGTTCAATCTTTACAAACTATAGAACTTTAAACGCATGCAGAAATTTCTTTAGAGAAACTATAGCTTGATAAAAGAAATGTACATGTGGTGTACTTTGTTTGTTTTAAACATTAACATGTTGAATACAATATATCTGCACGTAATAACTAATCTGTTATAATATATATAGATCATAATACAATATTTAGGTTATTATGTGTGAACAAGCAGAGTAGAATTAAAAGAACTATTTTATCCCTACTAATTGAAATAGTCCAGCAGAGCACATAACAAATTGTGTTTGTTGGGGTAAAAAAAAACCTTTCTTTTATTCAATTAATTTCAGCATTCTACCACAAGAAAATAAAGAAGTCTCCAGGGTAATGTCTTACATCACACAAGCGAAAAGCCTATTGTAAAATATGATATACAAACAATCATACGAAAGTATAACGAAAAATGGAGGCCTCCTATAAGTTAGGTAGAATTGGATAAACTATGAGAATTAAACTTGGTTAAATTGTTGAACAATGCCAAACTTTCAAAGATGCTCAAACATAAGAGTGGACTATAGTACTCACAACCATGTCAGAATGAAAGCATTGAGGCAGGTACCAGTTTTTTATATCTTCGTTGGAAGAGTTGTGCAACATTGTGTGCATGGAACAGATTACTCTGGTTGGGGAAAGTAGATGGTGGTGGTTCTTTCCCCTTGTTTAATGATCAAGGAACACTTTGGATTTTTCATTATTATATTGCTAAATTAAGTCTACCTAAAAACAACTTAGGGCTACAAACAATAGAAATCAGATCCTTTACATTGGAAGATAATTAATTAATTGTATATGATTAATTGCCATTATACATATTTTTAAAAAAAAGCAAATAAGTAGTAAACTGCAAGTAGCATAATAAATAAAAAGTTGAACAGGCAAGTTGCAGCATCATCCTGTATCTATAGTTATGACTGGAATGAACAAAGTTTTTATAAAGGAGATTCTTGAGTTATCACAGAAAGCAGATCTCTTACAATCAGGTCAATTTGTACCATTAAAAAACAAGTTTAATTATTCAGTAATGGATGAGTTACCAGCAAAGTATGAAATCCTTTATGCTATAGAGCCCTTAGGCCTTCTACAGAAAGCCTAAACTAGGTTGGTGTTATGAACTGGCAGATTATTACGCCCTGGTCCACTTGGCTTGTAACTGCCATGAATTGTATAAAATTGTATAAAATCCATAAGAATTCTATAGAATTTCAGCATTTCTAACTTTGCCGGCAACATATGCATTAAAATATTTTCCCAAAAACTTTTTAAAATATTGCAGTTAGAGCTATTATACAGACTATATTAGCCATTATACTGACTATATAGAGCCATTATACAGACTATATAGAGCCATTATACAGACTATATTAGACTGAGTTTGTGGACAAGGATACATACATAAAAAGCTGTTATAATAATTAACATAAACAAATTGCAATTTTATTGCAGATCTTTGCATTTTGATTTGCAACAATTCCTGTGATTAGCATAGTATCAGCAATACTGAATAGCCTTTGAACAGCATATGACTTATTAAAAAAACTAACGTAAATGAAATTTATTTCGTGTTGCTAATTCTTTCAGATGAAATTAAGAGGTGGACTTTAAGAAGTTAAACTTGGCTAAAGTTTGTTAGAACATTTAACTGTAATAGCCTTGCAGACTGGCCACTTTTTGCTCTATCTTGTGGTCCTCATTCCAGATTTTACAGTGGACAAAGATGGTGGCAAACGCTCGCTCCAAGACGTTGTAGGCGTGAACAGCCAGACAGAGGCAGTAGTTGTCCAGGGCCAAGTTGTACTCATTATCCAAGTACCAGGCCATGTAGAACTCCTCCGCTGCTTCACTGAACAAGCCCAGCTCCATGAGGGAGTACCCCAGGACGGAATACAGGAATGGGATATCCCTGGCATAGACCTCCCCCATGAGGGAGGTCAGGGCGGCCTCAGCGTGGCGCAGCTTGCCCAGCATCTTGTAGGAGAGCACCAGGATGTAGTAGGCCAGCACGGAGGTCGGCATGATAGCCTCCTCCTGGGCATCCACCTCCTCTTGGAGAGGCTCTGGGAGGGTCACTCGCTCTAGGCCGCCGTACACAATGTCACATGACCAGGGCCTGGGGAAGAACAGGGTTGTGTCCATATTTTCTTCTTCCTCGTCTTTCCTTGACTTGATGGAATCTTCTAGATACATCACAGCATCCTCATAGTTAGCCTGGCTGTACAGGAAGTTGGCGTACTTCACACAGACACTGGCATTTAGTTCTTCCTTCAAGGCTGCCTGGAAATGACACAAAACAGTCTTAGCAGCTGTTTTAAAATATTTAATTTATACTAAATAGTATTGATTCTACACACTAACAGATCATTTCAAACAGTTTTATAATTATATACTAATGTTGCACTATTTATAATAAAGAAAAATATAAGACATGATTATTCTAAACCTGGTTCATTCATAATCTATCACGGATAATTTTTAGCAACAAATCTCTAACGACTGTATGACCAGCTCATCGGAGACTCCATGGAATAGTAGGAAAAAGTATGGCAATACCAGCTTCAATATCAGGTAAACTAATTGAATATTGTGTCAAAGGACAAAGTTCATTGGATGAGGTTTCTAATTAATACAAATTGGATTGGAAAATAGCTTTCTTCACTGGAAAGTTTATTTTTCACAACTATTTGAGACAGTGTATGTGTTTAAACTGAATAATGAGGAACCTATACAGTAAATAAAAGAGTTGTGTAAAAAGAAAAGAAAACAATACAAACAAGGATCCTATATGATGGTGTGGTAAGTAAAGTAAAGAATACAAGTAAACTGTTGAGTTGGTTGAAGTAAAGTAAAGAATACAAGTAAACTGTTGAGTTGGTTGAAGTAAAGTAAAGAATACAAGTAAACTGTTGAGTTGGTTGAAGTAAAGTAAAGAATACAAGTAAACTGTTGAGTTGGTTGAAGTAAAGTAAACAGCTGAGGTGGCTGTAGTAAAGTAAACAGCTGAGGTGGCTGTAGTAAAGTAAACAGCTGAGGTGGCTGTACCTGGAAGTACTGCTCCGCTGAGAGAATCATCTCCAGCTCGCTGTCAATGTCCTCACATATACAAGCCTTGACGTAACACATGGTGGCCAGGTTACCTAAGGTGATGCACATCTCAGGTGCTAGATCCCCGTTGTGTAACTCTCTAGGCAAAACAAAATAAAATTTAATTACCTTGTGTATTCTTTTTTTAAATTTTAGACAAAATTGAGTATGTGAAAAGAAATAAAAATAATGATATACAAAAGCTTCTAAAAAGTTTTTAATTAATGTGTGATAATATAATATGTTGCTGAATATTTAATATGAAGAGAGTACGTGTAAACTTGTGTTGAAGATCTGTTGTATAATAATCTTGAGAAACTGGGCAGTTATATGACAGGTTCAAATGTGAAGTTGTGGCGCCACAGGTTGGTGGCAGATTGAGAACCTTTCTCTTAGCATCTTACCTGAATACCTCCAAGCTCTCTTTGTAAGATTCTATTGCCTTATCCACATCTCCAGCCATGGAATGCATCTGGCCAAGTTGGTGCAGGGTACTCACTAAATCTCCTGTCAAGAGAAAATTAGAGCCAATTATGTGACACAGTTCTGATGAGTTCATGTTCACACATACAGGGAAGAAAATATACTAATTAAAAATTGTATTGTATAACAACAAAGAAAATGGTAATGATTGGTGAGGTTTAATATACAATGTTTGTACATCTTAGGGAATAGATACCCTTTGTTTGTGAATCCTGAACAGATTCTTCAATGTGAAATTACAACATCTGACAGAGGCCCAAGTTGATGATATCCAAGTTTATTTACTATTTATACAAAACAATTTACTTCTAATCCTAACTGTCTTCTGCTATCCACACACTACTTCTAAATCCTATTTCACTATAACTCCACTGCATACTTCAACTTTATCTTTTATCTAATTCCTAGAATGTAGCGTCCTAGCTCCTACACAATCACCTGCTCTACTGCTTCTACACGCTCGACTGATTGCTACACACTTAACTGACCAGCTTACGCTATCTCTGCCCACTCATCTGTGATTTATAACAAAACGTCTCAATTATAATTGGCAGGCTATTTGATTGGTTCCTACCCCACCTACTTCAACTACTTGACCAGTGGCTATCTATTCTACATCTCTCCCTACTGTTTGACCCATGTCTAATGATGCCTACATTTACATCACCACCCACCTTTAATGTCATCCTCCAGCACATCTTGTATGTCCCTGGCCTGCTCCAGGTAGTGGACAGCGTTCTGGTACTGCTTCATGCTGATGTGGGCATCTGCTGACCTGCTGAGCAGCTGGTTGTGGAGAGCCATGTCCAGGTTTTCTGTGGAGGTGGTCATGTTGCTGCTCTGGCTGGACTCCATCCTCTCAAAGGCTTCACTCTCAGTGGATGAGGAGACCTGGGGAGAGGTGGGTGCTACAGGACTCAGGCACAACAACTTACAACAATAGTACATGGTTTGTGGGTTGTGGGTCATATGGGTTGTGGGTCAGTTGGGGAGAGGTGGAGCTACAGGACTCAGGCACAACAACAACAATAGTACATGGGTTGTGGGTTAGTTGGGTTGTGGGTTGTGGGTCAGATGGGTTGTGGGTCAGATGGGGAGAGGTGGAGCTACAGGACTCGGGCACAACAACTTACAACAATAGTACATGGGTTGTGGGTCAGATGGGTTGTGGGTCAGTTGGGTTGTTGTTCAGTTGGGGTGTGGGTCAGATGGGTTGTTGTTCAGTTGGGGTGTGGGTCAGTTGGGTTGTGGGTCAGATGGGTTGTTGTTCAGTTGGGGTGTGGGTCAGTTGGGTTGTGGGTCAGTTGGGTTGTGGGTCAGTTGGGTTGTGGGTTAGTTGGGTTGTGGGTCAGATGGGTTGTTGTTCAGTTGGGGTGTGGGTCAGATGGGTTGTGGGTCAGCTGGGTTGTGGGTCAGTTGGGTTGTGGGTCAGATAAGTTGTGGGTCAGATGGGGAGAGGTGGAGCTACAGGACTCAGTCACTACAACTTACAACAATAGTACATGGATTGTGGGTCAGCTGGGTTGTGGGTCAGCTGGTTTGTGGAAAACATTTTTATGGCCTCTCACAAACCAGCTCAGAACAAAAATATAAATTTTACAGGTGGGACCAAAAGACTCATTTTACTCCAAACAGTTGTCACTACCCAAATTTTTAAAGACATAAGTAATGAAACTAAGTAGTGCTACACATGTTGAAATTTAATGTCTTTAGTTTCATAATCTTGGCCAAAAATAAAAACTACTTTTAAGACGTATTGTATATGAATTTTTAGTTGCATAGTATGTACTGACAATATTTGTCTCAGCTGCCATTCTGATGGTTGTAGTATGCTTTGTACAGGGAACAAAGGGAAGGTGCACAGGGAATAGCATTTAATGTACTTTCATCATTTTGAATTTTTTGGTTGTTTTAGAGTCAGGCTAGCAGCTTAGCTCAAGCAGGGTTTGGGCCACTGACTGGCACTTAGGGGTTGTCCATTAATGATATAACAATCTTACGGAGAGGGGGAGGGGGTTCAGAAAGTGTGATGAAAAACTTTTTCATTTAAAAAATTAATGTTAGTCAGAAACTGAGCTTTAGCTTTTGTGTTTTTATTAGAAAGTTTTTTTAATTTTAATAGAAATTGATTATATATGTTGACTGTCCTTTAAAAAAAATATTTTATAAATTGATGTTTTAAAAAAAAATTGCAAATTTTAGGGGGCTAGTAAGCTGAGGTGTAATGTCATTTTAGGGGTGGAGGGGATAGCTTTTTTTGATGTGTGACCAAGGCGAGGGGGAGGTAAAGGTTTTCAAAAAATGCATGATATGGATGACCCCTTAGTACAATGTGTGAAAAAAAGGGATAAGGCTAAAAAAATTGCAACGTGTATAATATATGATTCAGTGTAAAGAATAGTATAACATATCATTTTCTATTGTATTCATCATATTATATATAGTACTGTATTGCACCAATCTGTGCTGTTCTATTCTGTTGTATTATATTGTACTGTATCATGTTGTGAGAAAATGGGTTGATATGTGTTTAAAAACAGGGTTTCTGAGAGACATAGTTGTTGGTCAGAGGTGATGAGCTATAGGGAGAGAGGTGTCTGTGAGGGTGAGAGGTGTCTGTGAGGGAGAGGGACGTAGGGGATTGGGGAGCTGTTGCTGGAAAGGGTGAATTGTTGACCTGTGTCGTATTTGCATGGGTTATTTTTCTGTTTTGTTTTATTCTGTGGTGTACTGTACTGTATCAAAAAAGCAGAGACATGACAAAGTACAGTAGATAAAAGGTGTCAGGATAAGAGGGTATGCAGACAGACACTAAGGCTTGCAGAGCTGTGGGGGAGGGAGACAGAAGGTGGGTGTTGTTTCAGAATTATATATGAGCTGTCTTTCTGACATACTTTTATTAGAAATCTGTTCATAAAACTGGCATATGGTCTAATTTTTATCATTTCATAAAAATTTGGTAACCAGTAAATTTGGCTTAGAAAGAAACTAATATTTTTACAAAAAGAAAATTGTTTAGTGTAAATGTAAAACCACTAAAGCAGAAAGGTTCTTACCTTATCACCAATATCCAATGCTTCATTGTAGTACGTTAAAGCAGTTTTGTAGTCGTACTGTGCGAAGTAGCAGTCCCCAAGTATCTGCAGTATACGCATGTGCTGCCGTTTCTCCCCCACCATGGACTCTCTCATGAAAGCTCTGCCAATCTCCAGAAACTTGATGGCCTTGTGGTGCATGTTAAGTACGTTGTACGTGTTGCCCAGGATGTACAGGTTCTGACAGACTAGCCAGAACCTCTGCTGGGGTAACTCAGCAATCTTTTCATCATACAGGTTCCAGAAAGTTTCAAACGCCCGTGAACACATAGATACACATTTGTGGTATGCTTTCATTTTGTAATATGTAATGCCTAAGAGTGATAGAATTAAGCTATGGTGGAATGTATAAAGAGTTAATCCATTCGCGTGCTTGACCATATGAAGAGCCAGTTCAAAAACATGGGATGCTCTGGGGTACACATGCACCATGAAAGTGGAGACCCCAAGCATGCTAAGAACATGTGCATTTTCTAGCACCGACTCCTTCCCATGGAAGCCTGAGGTACGGTAGAGCTTCAGAGCCTTCTCATACCAGTCCAGTGCTTCTGTGTACTGCCTCTGTACAAAATGGCAGTCCCCAAGTTTTCTCATCGCCATGGCAACAACGTGTTCCTGAGATTTCTCGTTGTTCTCCAGCACACTCAGAGCCTCAGAGTAGCATGTGACCGCCTCGCTGATTCTCTTCTTCAGCTCAATGTCCTCAGGTGTGTCAAAGTCGCTGGACTTCTCTGGCGTGGAGTTGCCCGTGTGCTCCTCGTCAGATGCCTCTCTCTCAAAGAACTCGCACATGGCGGCGATGACCTTGTCATACAAGGCCTCATCATTGAGGTCGTCAGCGTAGGCATTGCCCAGGTCAATGAGCACCAGCGCCACTTCTCTATGAGCCTCGTGGTCCTGCAAGTCTTTGTAAATCTTCAGCGCCTTCTCCAGGTTCCTCATCCCATTGTGTCTGTTGCCTTGTCTGAAACACAGCAGCCCGGTGCTCTGCAGCAGGAGGGCACTGAAGCGTAACATCTTTACCGTGCCATCTTGGATCTCCTCTATGATCTGAAGAATTTCCTCACAAAGATTTTCAGCATTGGATAACTCCCCAACTTGGATCAGCTTCTGGACAACCAGCTGCAATGCTCTGGCTATGGTCAGCCTCAGGCAATTCTCTTTGAGTGGGCTGAACTTTTCTTTCTCTTTTTTTCGTTTTTCATGCCCAGAAATTTCGATCACCCTGTTTTCTGAAACATTCTCCTTGTTATCATCAGCCAGATCAACAGTCTCCACAATAATGGTTGTACCACTGACATTGTCATCGCCCTGCTCTTTGGTGGAGCGACCATTAGTGCTAGTCTCTGCAGAGTAGAGCTCTATAACACTAGTGACAATACACTCTTTACGTTTCTCCAGGAAAAATTCCCAACCACTAGTATCCACATCACTGGAAGCCAACTCATACATCAATGAGTAATCTTTGACAATAGAATCTGTTCTAGATTTCTCATTGATTTCAGCCATGGTGTACGTTTCCTCTGTGAATATTTCTTCTTCTTCTCCTCTCTGTGAGCCCGTGGAGTTGTTTCTTTCTTTGGCTAAATCTATATCTGTTTCCTCTGATATAGTTTCTATCTTGGGGTCTGAAGGAGATGGGGAAGCCTCCTCTGATTCCTTAACTGTAGAAATTTCTGTGATGATATCCTTGACATTCCTGCTCTCAAGCCTGAGGTGGCAGTACCTCTGTATTCTCTTAAACCAGTTCACCTCCCCTGCTGCTGTGTGCCCAAAGTCTCCTTTAAACAAGGGCTCGTGGAGGCTCTCAATGCTGAAGGCATGGTTCATGTAACCAGAGTGATAGGGGCGGAGTCCGGATGTGATGTGTGGGGAGTTGGTGAGTGGGTAGCGAGACCTGGGAGTGAGGGGTGTTCTGGAGTGGAACAAGTTTGAACTGTGGTTGGGATCAACAAGCCTCCAGTCATCCTTTAACCAGTTGAACAGCGTCCGGCCTAAAACTTCCAGCAAAGATTGAGCCTTGGACTCAGCAAATTTGCACTGAGTGGTGTACCACTCTACACTTTGGTTGTCTGTCTCTTCCAGAAGTTCTGATGTGCACATGTCCACAACTTCACTGAGGAGGGAGGAGGCGTGAACACAGAGCCAAAACCATTCAAATGGGCTCTGTCTGAAAGCTCGACTTTTCCTGGTGCAAACCTCAGCCAGACCAAGATAGGTCTCCACCAGGGCCCTGGAGTTATCTTCCCCTTTCTCTTGAAGCAGCACAGTGGTTTTGAGGAACTGCTGCTCTGCTTCATTGAGCCTCAACTCTTCCAGGCTCTGCTTGGCCCTGGCCAGCATGGTCTCAGCATCCTGGTCCTCCTCGGCCTCACTGTCTCCATCCAGGCTCTGGAATACAAACAATACAATGCTCATATAAACTAAACATTGGGGGTATACAAACAACACAATGTTCACATAAACTAAACATTGGGGGTATACAAACAACACAATGTTCACATAAACTAAACATTGGGGGTATACAAACAACACAATGCTCATATAAACTAAACATTGGGGGTATACAAACAACACAATGCTCATAGAAGCTACAAACATTGGGGGTATACAAACAACACAATGTTCACATAAACTAAACATTGGGGGTATACAAACAACACAATGCTCATATAAGCTACAAACATTGGGGGTATACAAACAACACAATGTTCACATAAACTAAACATTGGGGGTATACAAACAACACAATGCTCATATAAACTAAACATTGGGGGTATACAAACAACACAATGCTCATAGAAGCTACAAACATTGGGGGTATACAAACAACACAATGTTCACATAAACTAAACATTGGGGGTATACAAACAACACAATGCTCATATAAGCTACAAACATTGGGGGTATACAAACAACACAATGTTCACATAAACTAAACATTGGGGGTATACAAACAACACAATGCTCATATAAACTAAACATTGGGGGTATACAAACAACACAATGCTCATAGAAGCTACAAACATTGGGGGTATACAAACAACACAATGTTCACATAAACTAAACATTGGGGGTATACAAACAACACAATGTTCACATAAACTAAACATTGGGGGTATACAAACAACACAATGTTCACATAAACTAAACATTGGTGGTATACAAACAACACAATGTTCACATAAACTAAATATTGGTGGTATACAAACAACACAATGTTCACATAAACTAAACATTGGGGGTATACAAACAACACAATGCTCATATAAACTAAACATTGGTGGTATACAAACAACACAATGTTCACATAAACTAAACATTGGGGGTATACAAACAACACAATGTTCACATAAACTAAACATTGGGGGTATACAAACAACACAATGTTCACATAAACTAAACATTGGGGGTATACAAACAACACAATGTTCACATAAACTAAACATTGGGGGTATACAAACAACACAATGTTCACATAAACTAAACATTGGGGGTATACAAACAACACAATGCTCATATAAACTAAACATTGGGGGTATACAAACAACACAATGCTCATAGAAGCTACAAACATTGGGGGTATACAAACAACACAATGTTCACATAAACTAAACATTGGGGGTATACAAACAACACAATGTTCACATAAACTAAACATTGGGGGTATACAAACAACACAATGTTCACATAAACTAAACATTGGGGGTATACAAACAACACAATGCTCATATAAACTAAACATTGGGGGTATACAAACAACACAATGCTCATAGAAGCTACAAACATTGGGGGTATACAAACAACACAATGTTCACATAAACTAAACATTGGGGGTATACAAACAACACAATGCTCATATAAGCTACAAACATTGGGGGTATACAAACAACACAATGTTCACATAAACTAAACATTGGGGGTATACAAACAACACAATGCTCATATAAACTAAACATTGGGGGTATACAAACAACACAATGCTCATAGAAGCTACAAACATTGGGGGTATACAAACAACACAATGTTCACATAAACTAAACATTGGGGGTATACAAACAACACAATGTTCACATAAACTAAACATTGGGGGTATACAAACAACACAATGTTCACATAAACTAAACATTGGGGGTATACAAACAACACAATGTTCACATAAACTAAACATTGGGGGTATACAAACAACACAATGCTCATATAAACTAAACATTGGGGGTATACAAACAACACAATGTTCACATAAACTAAACATTGGGGGTATACAAACAACACAATGTTCACATAAACTAAACATTGGGGGTATACAAACAACACAATGTTCACATAAACTAAACATTGGGGGTATACAAACAACACAATGTTCACATAAACTAAACATTGGGGGTATACAAACAACACAATGATCATATAAACTAAACATTGGGGGTATACAAACAACACAATGCTCATAGAAGCTACAAACATTGGGGGTATACAAACAACACAATGTTCACATAAACTAAACATTGGGGGTATACAAACAACACAATGCTCATATAAGCTACAAACATTGGGGGTATACAAACAACACAATGTTCACATAAACTAAACATTGGGGGTATACAAACAACACAATGCTCATATAAACTAAACATTGGGGGTATACAAACAACACAATGCTCATAGAAGCTACAAACATTGGGGGTATACAAACAACACAATGTTCACATAAACTAAACATTGGGGGTATACAAACAACACAATGTTCACATAAACTAAACATTGGGGGTATACAAACAACACAATGTTCACATAAACTAAACATTGGTGGTATACAAACAACACAATGTTCACATAAACTAAACATTGGTGGTATACAAACAACACAATGTTCACATAAACTAAATATTGGTGGTATACCAACAACACAATGTTCACATAAACTAAACATTGGGGGTATACAAACAACACAATGTTCACATAAACTAAACATTGGGGGTATACAAACAACACAATGTTCACATAAACTAAACATTGGGGGTATACAAACAACACAATGTTCACATAAACTAAACATTGGGGGTATACAAACAACACAATGATCATATAAACTAAACATTGGGGGTATACAAACAACACAATGCTCATAGAAGCTACAAACATTGGGGGTATACAAACAACACAATGTTCACATAAACTAAACATTGGGGGTATACAAACAACACAATGTTCACATAAACTAAACATTGGGGGTATACAAACAACACAATGCTCATATAAACTAAACATTGGGGGTATACAAACAACACAATGCTCATAGAAGCTACAAACATTGGGGGTATACAAACAACACAATGTTCACATAAACTAAACATTGGGGGTATACAAACAACACAATGCTCATATAAACTAAACATTGGGGGTATACAAACAACACAATGCTCATAGAAGCTACAAACATTGGGGGTATACAAACAACACAATGTTCACATAAACTAAACATTGGGGGTATACAAACAACACAATGTTCACATAAACTAAACATTGGGGGTATACAAACAACACAATGTTCACATAAACTAAACATTGGTGGTATACAAACAACACAATGTTCACATAAACTAAACATTGGTGGTATACAAACAACACAATGTTCACATAAACTAAATATTGGTGGTATACAAACAACACAATGTTCACATAAACTAAACATTGGGGGTATACAAACAACACAATGCTCATATAAACTAAACATTGGTGGTATACAAACAACACAATGTTCACATAAACTAAACATTGGGGGTATACAAACAACACAATGTTCACATAAACTTAACATTGGGGGTATACAAACAACACAATGTTCACATAAACTAAACATTGGGGGTATACAAACAACACAATGATCACATAAACTAAACATTGGGGGTATACAAACAACACAATGTTCACATAAACTAAACATTGGGGGTATACAAACAACACAATGCTCATATAAACTAAACATTGGGGGTATACAAACAACACAATGCTCATAGAAGCTACAAACATTGGGGGTATACAAACAACACAATGTTCACATAAACTAAACATTGGGGGTATACAAACAACACAATGTTCACATAAACTAAACATTGGGGGTATACAAACAACACAATGTTCACATAAACTAAACATTGGGGGTATACTAACAACACAATGCTCACATAAACTAAACATTGGGGGTATACAAACAACACAATGGAAACTATGGTGGTATACAAACTATACAATACAAACATTGGGTGTATAGAAACAACACAGTGCTCATATAAGCTACAAACATTGGAGGTATAGAAACAACACAGTCCTTATATAAACTACAAATATTGGTGAAATATAAACAAAACAATGCAAACATTGGCAGTATAGAAAATATACAGTGCTCATATAACCAACTAACAGGTGGTGTAGAAACAACACTTAAATGTTATTGTTCAAATCAACATGTTAACACATGTTAGCTATAAAAAAAATAATTGTTTACATTAAAATGCCCTAGGATTAAAAAAAAAAAAAAATTTTATACTGAACAAGGGGAGATTACTGAAATGAAAGAGTTTAAAACACCTCAAGGGATTATTTCAACTCAATACCCTTTAAAATCTTAAATTAAATTGTAAATATAAAAAAAATATAATCAAACTGAGTGAGAGAGGCCCTTACATTTGAATCCATCTTGTCTTTGTAATCCTCTATCCAAGATCCATCTTCATATGTTTTCTCCTGATGGAACTGAGAAACACCTCTGTACTCCACCTGCTTGTCAAGACCATTATTCAACCCTGTGGGAATCAAACAAAATGTCACTTTACATCAAGAGAAAACATTGCATGGTTCGTAGCTGTTTTGTTTGATGTAATTTATTTTTTCGTATCGTTAGTATCTTGATTTGAACATTTTAAATGTTTGAAATGGCACAAAACATGTTTTTACTTGTGCACATTTCATTCGTTGTTTCATACATTTGGTATATTTACATAATGAAATATATATAGCCTGAATAATTTGAACGTTTTTAAAATAAAATTAACTATCTAAGAAAATGTAATGATTAGACTGGATTATTTTTTTTTACCAGTAATGGCATATTTGAACTGACAATCTTGTTACCAAAAATTTGAACAAATTTAAATCAACAACACTGAGACAAAACTCTCTTTGAAAATCTGTTTCTATATATACATCCACAACCACAGTAACAGTACACTTCAATGAGGTCTGTTGATTTATGTCTGAACTTTCTTCTTCATTTCTTTGTACTTAGCCCAACTTTACATTAGCCACAGCTCAATTCATCATTTCTTATTTGGCTGAGTAACAAATGTAAACAGGGAGACACTGGGTGTTATCTCCAGTTTGACTTTGATGAAGTGTGCACTCAAAAGTCTGGGCTTAGAGGCCCATATTGTTGATGTAGTGACAAGTGTCTGGACAATTGGTGTTCAAACCATGTCAGCTTATGAGCTTCATCCCTAACATCATTATGTCTTTGTAGTTTGTAGTGAAACTAATGTAGAACAAAATGCCTCAAATAAACAAAACCAGTGAAAAAAAAATCAATAAGGGGAAACAAATTATAAACAACTGAAGTGTGTAGTGGCTATAGCAGACAATCAATACTGTAAAATATTTACTAGCACACACACATTACTCTCAAATGATTTTATGTTAATTTGCAGTGGACAAACCATGAGATTTACAATAATTGATTATGTATGAATCATGTGCTGTTTTGCGTTATTTATCGAATAACTTCATTAAAGCCAATAATCAAAATAAGAAACGTTTCAATATGTGCTTGATATTTTTGTAGTTTAATAGAACAGAATAAGGATATCAGACAAGTGCAAAACTAATGGATCATATTTTAATGCCAGTATTAACAAAGGGGAAAGGGAGAAAGATTTTAAAATCAATACAATGTAATTTAATTATTTGTCTGCATCTTGAGCTGAAAGCTTGCAGAATGTAAATTTGGGCTTACTGAGATAAATTCTTTATCCGTGTAAATGGTGGGTTTACTGGGTTGAGGACACTGGTAAAAGTATGTTTTCTATATAAATCCCCCCCCCCCCCCCAAAGAGATGCCTGGAAGAAACTCTGTGTGTTAAGTTCTAGGCCAAGTAAATGGTGGGCTTACTGTGTTTAGTTCTAAGCCATGTAAATGGTGGGCTTACTGAATTCAATAGCTCAGTAAATCAAGGGCTAACTGAGTTGACATAATTTTTCAACCATTAAAATAATAGAATTCTTTAACAGTGAGTATCCTCTAACTCTAAGCTAACATGCAAGTCCAAGGACCCTTACATCTGCAGCCTACTACCAGTCTACTTCACCAACAATGGACATAATTTGGCAGAACTAATAACTCAATAAAAAGTGACATTAACCAAAAGATCACAAAACTTAAGAAGCTGTATTGAAATACACTACAGAAAAAATGCAGCTGTATTATAAGATGCTACAAAAATATACACCAGAGGAAAGAAATGCTTCTCACCAGTGTAATATTGCTGAGACAACTTTGACTGGAGTAATCATTAAGCTGTCAGATACACTTAGAACGGTCAGCACTATGGAGACACAAGTGTCCAGTCTACGGGTCAGTCCATAGACTGGACGTGCCAGACAAGGCATTTAACTAGATCAATGATATTCTGGAATCTCATGTTGGGTGTATGGGACTAACGAGTGAAAGATATCCTGTCTAGACAGAGTTAGACCTGTGGCTCTTAGGAAGTATTGTAGCAGATAAAAAATGCACTATATGCAAGTCACATAAGAGAGGTGGGTGGGGTGGAGAGTCTTCAATTGGCATATATAAGAATGGCATCAGGATGGTGGGGATGAGGAGGGAGCCTCAAATTGACCAAAATCAGAATGACATAAGGGTGGGGGGATGGGTAGAGGGTCTTAAATTGACTAAAATGTGAATGTCACCAGAATGGGTGGGATGGAGAAAGACTCTTAAATTGACCAAACATAACTAAAAGTGACACCAGCCGGAGAAGGTGAAAAAAAAAATCAATATCTCTTCATTACAGCATTGAATATGAAACTCATACAATCAGTGAGAACCCAGTGCAGCAGATCTCATTCACAGATCTGAGACAACTAGAGATCTCAGGGAAATATCATTTGAGTTTCTATCACAAGATTCACAATTTTTTTTTCAATAGAACTTTTTTTTTTACTTTTAGAGTTATTTCTTTGACTAAGAGAAAATGTGCATTTATTTCCAGTCTCTTTCATTGGGGAAATAAACCTGTTCCCTATCCAGATAAAAAAAAATTGTTCCCTATCCAGATAAAAAAAATGGTCCCTATCCTTTAGTTTGATTGGCAGGTTGTTTACCCAATCATTCCATCAGCATGATCCATATTTCTGACATGTAAGTGGAGAGGGGGAGGGAGAGGGGAGGGTAAAGAGGGGAGGGTAAAGTTGGGAGGGGGAGGGAGAGGGGAGGGTAAAGAAGAGGGGAGGGTAAAGAGGGGAGGGTAAAGTGGGGAGGGGGAGGAAGAGGGGAGGGTGAGGTAGAGGGGAGAGTGAGGAAGAGGGGAGAGTGAGGAAGAGGGGAGAGTGAGGAAGAGGGGAGGGTGAGGAAGAAGGGAAGGGGGAGGATGAAGAAAAGGGGGGGTAAAGAAGATGGGAGGGTGAGGAAAAGGCATTTTCATTGGGTTTTTTTAATATCAAAGATATTACAGCCAACCCATTTAATGGCTGATGGGCTGTCAAAAAATATGGGAAGATGGTGAGCATTTTCCATCAATAAACCAATAGCACAGGGGTTCTTAACCTGGGTTTAATCGAGCCCCAGGGGTTCAGGGAGTCAGTCTCAAGGGTTTGGTGGAGATCAAGACACACGCTGGACTTGTATGATTCACGATCAAATTTTGACAGTGCAGGAGATAGAACCTTTGATATGGGTTCTGTGAATGCACATATGAAACTGATGGGGTTTGGTACCTTCTATAAGGTTTGAACTACTGAACTAGTACAACCTCATGTGACAGATTGTAGCAGCACATTATGGTGGTCTGTCTTTAAGTTTCAGTAATGTAGGCTGGTCACTCCATAGGAAAGGGTACTTTAGGGTGGTCACTTTATAGGTTTAAGTAATGTTTTATGGTTAGTCTTTAAGTTAAAGTACTGTGGCATCTGAATCTATGGAAGGTTTGTGACTGTGTTAAGACATTTGATCCTACAGAATGTTTATGGCTGTGTTAAGACATTTGATCCTATAGAAGATTTATGGCTGTGTTAAGACATTTGATTCTACAGAAGGTTTATGGCTGTGTTAAGACATTTGATCTTACAGAAGGTTTATGGCTGTGTTAAGACATTTGATTCTACAGAAGGTTTATGGCTGTGTTGTGACATTGATTCTACAGAAGGTTTATGGCTGTGTTGTGACTGTGATTCCACAGAAGGTTTATGGCTGTGTTGTGACTGTGATTTTACAGCAGGTTTATGACCGCTGTTGCACGACTTCTTGCCGTGGTCGGTGAACCAAGTGACAGAAATATGAGAAGATTTATTTTGTCTGACAACAAAAACTACGATCTTATTTCATATTTTTATGTCTCACATGGGTTTGTCATATATAATATGAGATCAAAATAGCCTATTTATAAAAATAACTTCAGGTGAAATTTCAATATGTAACAATAAAATAGCAGTGTCACATATATCGGTAAGTTTTTACACAGTAGTTCATCACTATGTAATTTCGGTAGGTATCAAGTATTTATCATGCTCTAAGGAGCTGGTCAGTATGAAGAGATAAAATGGTCAGTGTGTATTGAAGGAGAAGTTGGCGTCCTGTACAATGGGGGATGTACTGAAATGGTTCAGATAAAACATGGGATAATGTAAGCAGCTGTAACACTGCAGTAATGGTTTGTACAACTTGTATTGGTAATATAAGACGAAATAAAAGAAACTGTAAACTCATGTTGATAGCATGTTGATAATATGATGTTGATAGCATAATGTAGATAACATTGTGTTGTTAACATTATATAGATAACATTGTGTTGTTAACATTATGTAGATAAAATTGTGTTGTTAACATTATGTAGATAATGTAATGTTGATAACACAATGTTGATAACATAGTGTTGATAATAGGCAATGTTAATAACATTGTATTGATAACATTGTGTTGTTAACATTATGTAGATAACATTGTGTTGTTAACATTATGTTGATAACATTGTGTCAATAACTAGCTAAAGTCACTGTAAAAACTTAAATAACACCTATAAACTATAACTTGCTGGATTTTTTTATTAAAAAATGGTAGCCTTCAAATCAAAACAAAGAAAACAGATGTCTTTATCTGGCTGTGTAGCCTACTATCTGGTGTTTACCAAAAACATGATGGGACGATGTGTTTTATGTAGGTTTTTTTTTGTTTGTTTTTGTTTTGTAAAGCAGTTAAAGAAAACAGCTGAGTACACGGCGACTATATACAGTCCTTTACACGTTAAAGAAAACAGCTGAGTACACGGCTGACTATGCAGGTCCTTGCCTGAGTTCGTGTCATAACAGAGAAACACACAGCTAAGAAACAGACAAGTAATGAGCGTGATCCTACACTTAGCCCTGTACTAAAGCCAAACTCGACCCAGCTCAGACGGGACACCGCGGGACGTCGTAAAATAAGTCCAACCTCTCAATCAGACTCCGAATAAGACAACCTACGTTTAGTCATTAGCGTCAAGGTAGAACATTGGTATCAGCTAGCGACAGTTGGGTTCTGTTACTCGTTCCCTTTCAT